GTTATATGCTGCTACATTATGGCTGGCTCATCATACAGCCATCTGTATTGTGCAGTAGCTCCAGTTTCTGAATAGTCCCTTTGCAACCCCTTGTAGTGCTCATTATACCAGTCTTGTCTCAAGGTGGTAAAGAAGTGAGTGATTATAGCAAAGTCTGTAACAGAAAAAAAAATCTCACTCTAACTAGATCCAGATTCTTGGAAAAGACCTGTTTAGCTACAGCTGTTAGTTAAAATTCCAAAAGCAGCTCTGAATCATACAGTTCCAAAAGTGAATTTGGGGTACAAATGGTGGATGCTCTCATCCAGGGGTACTATACTCCTCTTTCAACTGCTGTCCCCAACCCACCATCACTGCTTCAATATTGTTTTAATTAGTACTCATCAAGCTTGCCTTCCTCTGTTCTGTCTTCATAAAGACACTGAGTTTATTCATTTTATTGCACCAGTGGATCTTATGTGATTGAAAAGCTGAGTATACTGAATTCAGTGTGATCCATATTTCCTTACTAACTCTGATGGCCTCATGTACATGTTACACAGAAGGGGTGGCAAAACTGTTTCCTGAAAGAGCCTACGTGTAGGATCTCTTAATACAGATGAATAGTTATCTAAAACCTGACTGACTTGGAACTAGGAAATTGGAGGACTTGAAAAATTGCCATTTAATCTGCTTCCACCTTTTTGCTGACCTTTCCAGAAAAATGGAAAGTTTTACATATGTTGGTAGTTGGCAAGATTTGATGACAAGCAATAGTTTCTGAAGCAAGAGCTCAATGGCAGGATGTCATTTGTCCTTAAGGAAGTTTTTTCCCATATGGATATATTGATAGCCTCCCATTCAGTATTGCCCCACTGGCCTTCACTAGCGAAGGGCTTACATCCAGTTTGCAGTGAGAGAGTTAGCAGATGCTATGGTGGAGGTGAAGAACTCTTCTTTGTCTCCTGCACTGTTCCTGCATGTGACTGCAAATACTCTATACATTTGCGATCAAATTCAGTCAGGGACTTCCAGTGCTTTAGCCATTCTGCTTGTCCTTTTACCTTCCTCTGTAAACCATCATGACTTGTAAGGGTGAAGTTAAGAGGACATTTAAAGGTCACTATGTCAATGATGGAGGACAAAAGGTTGTTATGCAGTCCCAACCCTTCGATAGTGGCCTGATGGCAAACAATATACATCTCTATCCCAATATAACACGAATTCGGATACAACGCGGTAAAGCAGCGCTCTGCGGGGGCGGGGCTGCGCACTCTGGTGGATCAAAGCAAGTTCGATATAATGCTGTTTCACCTATAACGCGGTAAGATTTTTTTGGCTCCCGAGGACAGCGTTATATCGGGATAGAGGTGTATTACTTCAGAGCCATTTGGAACCTCAAGTTTCATCCGCCTCTAAGGCATGGATGACCACAACATGCTCTCTGTCCCTATGGGGAAAAATGTGTCCTGACCTCAAATCACAGAAGATAAAAGATCTGTCCTGGTTAACATTTTCTTGCTCCATCTACAGTCCCATTCCAAATACTTGACTACACTGTATCTGGCTCTGTGAGCTGATCTGCAAACCAATTTTTACAGTGCCCTAGTTGTCATGGCACCTGACATCCATGAAAACTTAAACCTATGCAGAAGTCATTAACTTCAGTGAAGTTGCCAAACATTGTCAGCCTTGGTGCCTCAGCACTCAGTGAAGAATCCGATCGGTTCAGCAAAGGCCTCTTTGGTGTTTCAGAGTAACCAGTGTACCAATATTAACCCGATTCCAAGTCCTGAAAATCAGATGGACACTTATAACTATCTTTAGGTCTGTAGACCTCCTACATCTGAATGTGGCTACAACAAGCACAGCCATACCTGCTGCCTGAGTTCCCTGTGTCGAGTGCTGCACAGTATACTTGGCTGAAGTCTGTTGCACCAACAACTGCAATGACATCTAGCCAGGTTTTGCTTGTGTCTGCAAAGTTTGGTGTAAGAACCTTAAATCTGAATTATAGTCTTATGTCCAAAACTTTGTTTTTGATAGCTTTAGTGTTCTAATATATTAACTAAGTATAATTTGTAATTTTCCTTCTAGTCTAATCTTCCGTCTCTCAATTGGAAAATTTTCAGATTTATTTTTATCACTCCATCTCACATTGGACATATTTCAGATCTTATGTCAATATTTTCATATCACTTAGTACTGCAGATCACCAGATTGAGGTAAAGTTTTGTGTACACCTGGATTGGGGCAACTCAGTCCAATGTGCTGACAAATGTAATCGTTCCCTTTTAAACCCAAGGTTTTAACTCTTAAGTGGTTATAATTTACCTAGTCCTAATTTCAACAATGCTCTAGATACGATGTGCAGTGCTTTCTGAGGCTGCAAGACAGGCACTTTCTAATGTTGATTAATTACATTTGTCAAAACATAATTCATTATTCCCCTCATAATCAAATCTTCTAACTCCAGCTTGAATAAAGAATTGGAATCTGCTAGCATGGAAAGCAGACCTGCATAATAACTTACATGGCCACTAACTCTTAGTGCAGGGGTTCTCAAACTGGGGGTCAGGACCCCTCAGGGGGTTGCAAGGTTATTACATGGGGGGGGGGGTCGTAACCTGTCAGCCTCCACCCCAAACCCTGCTTTGCCTCCAGCATTTATAATGGTGTTAAATGTATAAAAAAGTGTTTTTAATTTATAAAGGGGGTCGCACTCAGAGGCTTGCTATGTGAAAGGGGTCACCAGGACAAAAGTTTGAGAACCACTGTCTTAGTGACTTATTTCACTTAACAACATGATTGTTACAAAGTCCTGTGTAGCAATTGTAGGGAAAACTGCAGTCCTCTTGCTCAGCTCAACAATTAAATAAAATCCTAAAGAAAAAAAAACTTAGATTAACAAGATGAATTGTATGTAAAGAACTAAAAACTTGGTTTTTTTAACTAACCAAGAACATTTAGGGTTCTTTACTTCTCCACAAACATTTTAAAATGTTAAATTTAAATATACTTTTCACTGATGTGAGCTATTGGAGACTGTTCTCTTAATGTGAATAATTTATTCACATTTATTTATTTGTGAATAATTTATAATGCCAGTAATTTCTGAACCTCTGGCAATACATTAGGTATCTTGTTAAAGTGAAATAGTCTTTGACAATTGGAGTCAAATATCAGGTGACTCTCAAATTTCCCCCTGCTGTTAATACTGGGCTTATTTTTTTAAAGAAATGCTTTAAACCCATTTTTTAAATTTTTATTTTGGTTGTAAAATCACTGTTAAACCAGAGCACTGACATTTCCAGTCTCTGACAATATTCAAGTCTCTACATGCATGCTGACAGTTGCATGCATGAAGTCACATTTTAGCAGGATGGCCACTGCCAACAAGTGGTTTAGAAATTACAAATTATTGTTTCTTCTCAGATACTTTTCATAGTTTATTGATTAAATATTTCTCATTGTTATCTTAGATTGTTGATTTAAGGAAAATTCTACTCATTTTGTTTTTAAAAATGTTATGTGATGTAGTCAAATAAAGATGTTGGTAACCTATTTTTGTTGAGTCTTAAGTATTTTCACATGGGAGAAAAAATCAAGACACATCTTTGCAGAATCTCATTTTGCATAATAACATGGTGTTTTGGGTAACACTTTGTTCCTTCTCTCAGTATGAACCGATTGGATTATGTTTATCTTGCTTTGTCTTGCCTCCTTACAAACTCATAGGTAGCTGGTTTCATTAGAACTTTATGCTTTATTATAGCTGAATTTCAAATTAGAAACAGAATTTAACTGCTAGCTGAGTGTACCCTTCTGGGCACACTTTAAAAGAATTCTCTGCTCCTTGCAGGTTTTTTCTGCGTAACATATAATGGGCAGCGGCTCAATCTACTTCATTTTATACCTCATTCCTTTTGCCTCTTTCCCCTTCCCACCGCATCCCTTTTAATACTACTTTAGATGAAAGATAAACTATTTAAGGGGCTGGAGTTTTGTTGTTTTATTTTTATTTTTATTTCTTTTTTATTTCTCAGTCTTAAGACATGCATTTAGACTGCTGGTTTGTCTTTGCTCATCACCAAAATCTTTTGAGGGAGAGGGAGATTTCATCCAGACTTTTTATTTAACCTGTCCAGTTCTAAACAATGCTTCTTTGTAAGAAAGCTTAGATTGCAGCAATTTAAAGGATGATTAAGACTAAGTCATTTATCTCCTAATGTGGGCCAACAACTGTCACTGCAGATTATCTATTACCCAGTTAGCTGAAAACAGCATTGCAGTGACTTGGCTAAATTGTTTAGCTAAATACCGGATGTCTATTACTTCAGTCATTTTCATGAACTTTGGTTAGTGAGCATGTTTTAAACTAGGTTGGGAGATGATGGTTCTCAGGTGATACAGCACAAATAGGATCTGACTTAATGTTAGTCATTTTTCTGCTTTATTTCTTCTGACACCTGCATGCTGTAATCATTCCAAATGCCACATTGTTTTTGTAGCAATACCGAAATAACATGCAGCAATACTAAAATAATCTTGTGAAGTTCCATAAAGAAACATGGTTCACTTTCCAATATTTTACAATTGAAAAAATCATACACACTCCACTTATAGTAATATTTCTCCTACAGATTAAGCTATACCTTTTCTCCCACTCCACCCCCAAATAATCATTTGTGTCTATTTTCAGAGGATGGACCTTGGAGAATGTCTGAAGGTGCATGACCTGGCATTAAGAGCAGATTATGAAATTGCATCCAAAGAACAAGACTTTTTCTTTGAGCTTGATGTATGTTTTTGCCTTAAAATGCACTATTCTCTCTACAAACTGGTTATGCACATACAAAAGATGTAACATGCTAAGTATATAGAGAAAACATAAACCTTCTCCACAAAGCTATAGATTTGGAGGGTGGGGCTCTTGCATGATTATCTAGATACTACAATAATGGGGGCATATAAATAGCTAAGCATCTAGTCTGTGGCTAGAGCTGAGTATTGTGTCTGTGGCTAGGCAGATAAGTCTCCATATCTGTTATCCCCATAATTCTGGATGTCATCCGACTGTTGCCATCAACTCCTGTCTCAAAACTGATTGTGGTTCGTTACAATGCAAATTACTCATGAGGGAATTCTGCACCAAAAAAAAAAAAAATACAAATTATGTGCACAATATTTTAAAATTCTGCATATTTTATTTGTCAAAATAACGCAATATAATCATGCCAGTTTCAATTATTTTGGTAATTTATTTTAAAATACCTGTCTACAAGTATGTCTGTAACAATACAGACAATGAAAAAGATTCAGGAAATGTTTTTTTGACAAATAAGTTCCTTACTAGCCATATAGTAGAACCTCAGAGTTATAAACGCCAGAGTTATGAACTGACCGGTCATCCATACATCTCATTTGGAACTGGAAGTACACAATAAGGCAGCAGAAGAGGTACCCCCTGCCCAAAAGGCATACAGGATAGTATTGTGTTAAATGTAAACTACTTTAAAAAAAGGGGGTGGCGGGGGTTAAAAAAAAGATTTGACAAGGTAAGAAAACTGTTCTGTGCTTGTTTCATTTAAATTAAGATGGTAAAAGAAGCATTTTTCTTCTGCATAGTATAGTTTCAAAGCTGTATTAAGTCAGCGTTCAGTTGTAAACTTTTGAAAGAACAGCCATAACGTTATGTTCAGAGTTACAAGCATTTCAGAGTTGCAAGCAACCTCCATTCCTGAGAACTCTGAGGTTCCACTGTATTAATATAGAACTTTGAGTAGTAATTCATTTACACTAAACTACAGAAATGTGTTTCCCGCACCCATCAGAAGCAGTGCAAAGGCTTCAAGGAGTCACGGGTAATGGAGGAACTGAGGGACAGGGACATAATTGCTGGGAAGGAGCCTGGGAATGAACCTGGAAGGTTGTTGGATGTGGGTGGGAGAAGTATGGAACAGTTGTTTATTTGGTGGGGATGCGGTGGAGAGTGATAGGGAATTGGGGAGCCTCCCCCATGCAGACCCTGGCCGACCCCTAGCCTCTCCCATTCAGTCAGGCACATCTGTCCCTGTGTGTCTCTTCACCCCCACTCTGATTCAGCCCCCACCCCCATTTGTCTCCCCCCTCCCTCCAGTGTCCCTTCTGAATCCCAGTCTGTGACCTGCCCCGTGTGCCTCCGCTCTGTCTTTCCCTTCCCCCATATGTGCCTCCTCACCTGGCTCTACTAGCAGAGTGTTGTGAGGAACACAGCCTTTGCTCTCTCTTTGCTCAGCTGTTAGGCTAGTGAGTGGCTGCCCTCCGTTTTGGCACCGCAGCAGCCCCTGGCAGGCAAAAGGCATAACTGTAGCACCTCCTTGGCAGAATGTATTTTCTGCGGAGAGAAAAAAAATGTGTGTGGGGGGGACATGAATTTCTTCAGGAGTAACAAATGTATGTTTTGAAGAGAGGCTTTAGGATGCTATACTTATCCACAGAATTAAAAGTATATTTCTGTTATGCATCTGGGTTAACAGATTATATACCATGGCGGTCATCTGTGCTTTGAATAGTCACATTGTGAGCTCCTAAGGCCTTATATTCACTAGGAATAAAGATATATTTTTAACCCATGTTAAACTAATCCATGTTAATTAACTCTCATTTAGAATCCCAATGATGAAACATTTTTAGTTTTAACCCATATTAGCTGGTTGAGGTAAACTCTAGGCTACTCTCTAAAGATTTGAACACTGGTTAAAAATGATCTTTTTCTTAGTGAAGAGAACCTAAAAGGAGTTTTAGGTAATTCCCACACATTCTCAAATATGTCTTTGTCCAGATTTTTTGTTTAGGTGGCTTTGCTTGTTCTTTCTGGCAGTGATAATCTTTTGTTGTTTTAGGCAATGGATCACCTGCAGTCATTCATTGCCGACTGTGACAGAAGAACTGAAGTGGCTAAGAAAAGACTAGCAGAAACCCAAGAAGAGATCAGTGCTGAAGTTGCAGCTAAAGTAAGCATTTAAAACTGGTTTCTGACATGCTGCAAAGCCCTGTTGGACTGCTTAAGGGAATACTTATAATTGGGCTGATTTTTCCTCTATCAGAAAGTAACCATTTCTTATTTAGCACAAGTGCACCTGAGCTGAATTCAAATGAGACTACCCATTAGTGAAATTCAAACCATTTTCATAAGGAAGGAAGTTTAGGCTTTGACAGGCCACCCAAACTGAGGATTTTTGTTTTGAGAGAGAGAGATTCCCTCTCCTCCCCGAATCTGTCCCTAAAATCATTGTTTCCCAAACTTTTTACTAAGGCGACCCACCCAACAGCATTTTTTAATTTTTTTTTGGCAACCCACCATTACATATATGCACCCTCCAACCCTGGCACCACAACCCTAATCCTGGCCTAGTGCATGTGGGAGTTTAGAGCGGTGGTTCCCAAACTTTTAAGGGTCACACTCCCTTTCTCTCCCCCCCCCCCTCCCCAGCCCATTATGACAGGGGTAAGGGGGCAGAGGCTGGGGGTTATAGCTGGGGGCGGGGCGGGGATTGGGACCGGGAACAGAGCTGCGGCCAGGGGCTGAGGCTGGGGGTGGGAGTGGAGCCGCAGCTGGGTTGCCATGGGGGCCAGGAGCTGGATCTGTGGCTGGGTGCGGCTTTGCTCCCGGCCCTACCCCCAGCCTCAGCCCCAGACTCGGAATGGAGCTGTGGCTGGGGGCTGCAGTAGGGGCTGGCAGCCGGGCACGCAGTTGGGTATGGAGCTGCCCCAAGGCTGGGGACAGGGCCACGCATGGCCTGTGCCCACTGCGCCTCCCTGAATGTTCCTCCGCACCCTCCTAGGGGAAGCACCCCACAATTTGGGGACCTCTGGTTTAGAGAGCGAGCCTGACCCATGCTAACCCCACAGCAGCAACTCTTGTCCTGCGGGCCTGGGCCTGGCTCTCTATTCCAGCTGGGCCTGGCTCGCCAAATGTGAATGGCCCTGCAGTCCTGTGTGCCAGGTTGCAACTCCCAAAGTGGGGAGCCAGGGCAAGAGTTGCCACTGCAGGGTGACTGCAGGGCAGGCTTGCTCTTCAAGCCCTCTGCTCCCCCATCCTGGTGCCTCCCGTTTGGGCCATGAGAAGTATATATTTGCCTAGGCAAAATATCCTAGAGGATGTTGTGAAGGCCAAGACTATAACATGGTTCAAAAAAGAACTAGAAATTTTTTTTGGAGGATAAGTCCATCAATGGCTATTGGCAGGGATGGTGTCCCTCTGGGGCACCGGGGATTGGCCGCTGTCGGAAGACAGGATACTGAGCTAGATGGACCTTTGGTGTGACCCAGTATGGCCATTCTTATGTTCTTAGGCCGGGGCCCAGTGATCTAGCCATGGATATGATGACTTCTTTAATACCTTCCTGCAACCCACTCTTGGGTTGGGACTCATTGTTTGGGAAACATTGCCTAAAAGGAGAAGGAAAAAGAGGGAGACGACTGGTCATCCACTTCTCCTTCAGGACTCTTCAGTCTCTGTGGTGGAGCATGCCATGAAAAAGTGATAACTCCATCTTTTGCCCCGACTCTCAACTGCTGAGATAGCTTAGGGGTTCATGCTGTCTCATCTAGTTTTTGTGAATATGCACGGTGGACTTCCTACTTTGGAGTATATGTGTTGGAGAATACAGGTTGGGTGGGGCCTACACTACTTGTTTATATACAAATACCTCTGATCCACATGTGTCTCCATTGACTTTGCCTTAAAGAGTTTATTTCATATAAGCAATGACTTCTGGATATTAATCCCAACAAGCACAGTCTAGCTTCTCTGAGAAAAATCCAAACCCAAAACACATGAAAACCTGCCTGTATTGAGCTCCCACTTGTTTTTCCAAGGCTGAACGAGTTCATGAATTGAATGAAGAAATTGGGAAGCTATTGGCCAAAGTAGAACAGCTGGGAGCTGACGGAAATGTGGAGGAGTCCCAGAAAGTAATGGATGAAGTGGAGAAAGCCAGGGCAAAGAAGAGAGAAGCAGAGGTAATTTTGTTGTCTTTACATCTGTGAATTCATTGACACTTCATTCCAGATGGTCTTAGGAGATGAGACCAGATCTCTTAAACCATATTTCTCTGAATAATTTGGTTTAGAATGCTCAGCATGTATTGAAAGGTTTTAAATTGTTTGTATTATTTTTATTACCAAAATGGAAATGGCTGAGTATGTCTTTGACTTGAAGTTCTATGTAAAAGGGATTTTTCTTCCGAAAGTGTGTATTTTGGCACCTAAATTTTTTTGAATGCCCAAAAATAACTTAAATTTCATCAGCAGCTATGTACTATACAATTTCTTATCAATCAGCAGCACTTCCTTAATTTTGATTCAGGGTATGAGGCAATCAGTTGTAAACAGGGTGGATTTGATTTAAATCACTAGTCAGGAAGACTCAATTTAATCATGGATTTCTACATAAAAGTGCATTCTTGTTGGTTTTTATAATATTAATACGTATTCTTCACAACTCAGAAATAGATGTAGGTTTCATTTTTAGAAGGTACACACACACTATACATTTTTAAAGTGTTTTTTGAAAACTTTTCAGATTAGTTTTACAGCTATATCAGAAAATGAATGATTGTTTGGTTATTTCATTTACCAAATTGAAGCAGATATTTATGAAATCATTGGGAGGTGAACTATCTCCAATTCAACAGGTTATTAATCATTAATATTTGGAGGATTTTCTTGCCATGCTGTATTAGGAGGAGATCATCACCAGACAGACATTTAAATTGTTTTATTTAACTAAAACAACAACGTTGTATATTCTGGATGTTTTTCTTCAACAGCAAACATACAATATTTTAACAAAACGAGCATATAAATTTTTGAATGTAAACATTCAAGTTTTTTAAAATCAGGTTTGTTTTTTGTTAAAATTGTTTAACTAAAATAGTTAATTTTTTTTTAAAACATATTTAATCGACTATGTCAGCCAGGTCAACATGAGAAACTTAAAATATTGGCTTCTGCAGCTAACTAAGTCCTCTTCACCTTCATTTTCCTGTTTGTTCATAATCTGGAAAAGAAATACAAGCTTTCCTACTTTTTCAGGTCTCAAAACGATTTCTCAATTTGGAATGAATTAGTCCAAAGGAAGAAAATATTCTTTCTACACCGGTAGAAGAAGCTACTGCTGTTAAAAGTGAGATTATCACTTCAACAGTCTCTGAATACAAGTGCTTAAGTGACTTCCACTAGTTCACTGGTGTGACTTTCTTTAAAACATCATCAGCAAACATATTTCTTGAATGGTTCACCCTTACCTCTGAAGTTTATCATAGTTGGCATTATGGAGGGATGATTGCTGGATGTCCATGTCATAGCCAGCTCCTCTTATTCAGCAGTTAAGGTTTGACCCTGGTACCGAGTATTGAGAATATTTGCAAGAAAATGAGCTGGAGATAGTGCTTGTCCCATTTGTTTTTTTTAATGCTTGTAATTTAACTGTCGTTGCATATTTCTCTTTTTAAGATCTCACTCAGTTCCTTCCAAATTTCAACAGCATCAGCAATAAAACCGCTATTTCCCTGCATTTTGTTCAAGGCTACAGAAATAGGCTTCAGGGTACTCCGCATGTGTTCAACATTTCTCTTAAGCCCAATGTTAAGAACTTTGGCTGTGACAGTGCCATCTATTTTTTCACGATTTTGTTCACAAACTGTCATCAGATTGGGCCAGTTCTTGATATATTACTCAAACAGTCCACTACTGAGTTCCATTGCATGTCTTGTGGGAGAGTTAGGTTGGTTCCTCTCACTTTTTTCAGAGCAGCTGCTGCAAAGTGGTTATTATGGAAGTATTTTGCAGTTTCAACAACATTAGCCTTTATTACTGGAACACTGAGGTCTTTGGCTAGGAGGTGCATCAAATGAGCACTGCAACCGTATGTTATTAACTTGGGACTCTCTTCTAAATTTCTTCTCATCTTAGATACATTTGCAGCATTGTCTGTGTCCAGGCTGCATACTAGACAGTTGAATTTTTTTCCACAGTTTGTTATAGCTCCGACTGCTGCTACTTGTAAGTATTGTGTGTGTGCATTTCCTGATGTATCAATTGTTTCTGTAAGGAAGACATTCCCTTCTTCCGTTGTCACACAAGCACATACAACAGGATCATTGTAGACATTGCTCCACCCATCAAGACTCAAGTTAACAATTTTTCCCTCTAGACCTTTTGCATACTGTTCGATTTCTCTTTCATACAGTTTATCCAGCAATTTGCCTGCGACATCTGCTTTGTTGGGTGGACTGTATCCTGGTCTTAATGACTGAACCATGTTTAATGAAGTGTGGGTTCTCAATCATATGGAAAGGAGAGTTTGTTGCATAAACAAACGGGGCAATTTTTTCATCAATTACCTCTTTTATAATCTGCTGGTTCTTATCACAAACTCGTCTATGGTTGTTTCTGGATGATGGAGACTTTTTTCTTTTTCCTTTCATCATCTTCAGCGCAGCTTCCTCCTGAGAAGGAACACTTCTCATGATGTTGTTTCATTCGAACAACCAGGCCTTGCATTTCTTTGTTGCACTGTTTGCATTTTGCACGCATGCCTGTCTTAACCCACAGGTAGAGGAACTTCATTAAAATATCCCCAAACTGGGTCTCTTTTACGGCCTGCTGCCATTATAGATTTTCCCTTCTAGTGAGAGAATGGTATGGTAGATCTCAAATCAATGAAGGCTACACTCAGAAAGACCTCAGGACTTCTGGAATATGCTGCTCAAACAGTTTCACTTTTGTTTCTACTACCTGTCCCTCCCTTCTCATGTTTATCTCCAGACTTCTTCTCCTTGTCCAGATCTATTCTGCCCTCAACAATCTTCTATTCATTGAACTTTTTGAAACTTTGCACTTTTAGAGAGAGGTAAGGGATTGACACAAATTTGCAGAGGGACAATAGGGTTGAGGTCTGTTATTTCTCACCTCTATATGTTGTTGATTTATTTATTTAAAAATATTTTTGCTGTTAACAAGCATGTTATCTCTGGAGACACAAATCCACAGTTTGAGAACTGCAAAATTAAGCATCTCTGATGGTATCTTCTAGACTGAGCACTGAGTCCCATTGGGTAGATAGAAAGATTAACCTAAATAATCTATGCAGAAGCCCCTGGAACCCCATAAGATTGGGTCCCTAATCCATAAACTATTGGAACTCATTTACAAAACTTTTCTTAAACATTACATGTATATATCGTCTCATAAATTCTCATTCTATAGTATAATCCCTATTCCATGATGAGATAGTTTTAATTAAGATACATTATAGCTCAAAGCTATCTTTAGATAGGTATTCTCCTCAAAAAGCATTTTATCAAAAAAATCCGCTTTAAATAAAAAGGGATTTTTAAAAAAAGATTTTAAATCATTGATTTTTATCCACCCTCATTGTAAAGCTAACTTTGCTACAGAGTTAGATGGCCTAAATATATCAAATATTTTCACCACTATTCTGTTATTGTTCAGTCCATTGGGGTCTCTGTTGGTATTCCCACTTTTTTTTTTAAGGTAGTCCTGCACTATTTCAAGTGTATTTATTTCCACAGATAAGGCTTTTACTTTAATTGAGCTATGTTGGTCTGTTTCGTTTCTATGGACAGTGTATTTGGTTCTACAGTTGTTAAGACCAGTCGTTGTCATGGCTAATGCTGGTAAGAAGACTAGTTTTCAGCCTTATGCATCATGAGTTGCACTGAGCAAGACTTTTTCAAAGGTCTTTAACTCTGACAAGACAAACCAGTTTTCACTGGAGCTCTCAAAAGACTCTCTTCACTGAGAGCTATTTCCATGTCATATTTCTGCTTTCTATCTGAGTCTTTTTGATGCTTGAGCAGCTTAAAATAACTGCAAATATTTGTTGTTGTTTTTTTACAGAGGATTAAGTGTGGCTTTGTTCCTTCTCATAGCTGTCCTCAGATACAGAAATGGCCAAACAAATTTTCCTCAATTTACAAATAACTCTTCAGTAAAGATCAAGACTGGAAAGATGATTTTTCAGGATAGCATTTTAAATAGATTCACTGTGGAAGCCACTGTGCAATCTTCATAGATATGGTGCTCACTGCTAATATTTACTACCTATGTTGAACTCTCAAAAATTGTCAGACTCCTCCAAAGTAACCTACTGTGGAGTAGAGATTAAAGAACAGGTCCGTTTTATTTTTTTATTTGGAAAGCAAAATGAATTGTTCATGGCCCTATTTTTTGTAGTTAGTGTCCAAATAATGTTATATTTAAAAATAATGAAACTTCTTTGTATTTTAATGGAGACATTTGATTTATACCTCACATGGATAAAATTAGTAGTAAAACAGGTCTAATATAGTATCCTGAATTACTCTGACTCTTAATTGGCAGGTATAACTCTTTATGTATGTTGCTTCTGGTAAGACATTCTTGTGTTCATATTTTCATGTATTGAAGAGTAAGAAGCTCTCAATGTATCTCCCCCTCCTCCCTCCCCCCCAGGAAGTGTACAGGAATTCAATGCCTGCCTCCAGCTTTCAGCAGCAGAAGCTCCGTGTCTGTGAAGTGTGTTCTGCCTACCTTGGTCTTCATGATAACGACAGGCGACTTGCTGACCACTTTGGAGGAAAACTGCACTTAGGGTTCATCGAAATAAGGGAGAAACTTGAGGAGCTCAGGGTAAATCAGTCTTATTTATTTTTTCTTTCTCTTTTACTGACAACTTAATCACATGCGAGAAGATCTTAGTGGAAACTTTTTATTGTATGTGAATTTATTTGTTCATCTTGTAAATTTAAAACTTTTGAGGCAGGCCCATATTAAAAATTGGTTGAATGGTAAGTTAAAGATAATGACAGGACAGTGTAATGATCTCTTGGCATGGTGAGTTCATTTGAACAACCTGCATTTTAATATAGCCAAATGCAGGTCATACATCTCTGAACAAAGAACGTAGGTCACACTTACAGAAGAAGGAAGTGTGTCAGTGCATTCCAGGATACTGAAAAGGACTTGATGGTCATGTTGGATAATGAACTGAACATGAGTTCTCAGTATGATACTATGGCTAAGAGGGGTAATGTGATTCTTGGATGTACAAGCAGGGGGAATATTGAGTAGGAATAGAGGTGGTATTTCTTCACTATTCAATGTGAACAGGACCATTACTGGAATGTGGTGTCCATGCTTCAAAAAGGATGTTGAAAAATTGGACATGATCCAGAAAAGATTTACAAGAATGACTAATGGTCTGGAAACCCTGCCTTACAGTGAGAAATGAAAGCTCTGTCTATATAACCTATCCAAGAAAAGGTTAATAGGTGACTTGAGCACCCTATAAAAGTAGCTACATGGGGAGAGAGATCTTGGTTTAGCAGACAAAGGCGTAACAAGATCCAGTGCCTTCAAGTTGAAGCTAGATAAATTCAAACTAGAAATATGATGCAAATTTTTAACAGTAGCTTAACCATTAAAATAACTTATCTCGGTATGTGGTGATTCGTCTTCGAGTGATTGCTCATGTGTATTCCACAGTAGGCGTGTGTGCTTGCCACGTGCACTGGTGCTGGGAGTTTTTCCCCTAGCAGTACCCATAGGGGAGCGCCCCAGTGACCCCTGGAGTGGTGCCTCCATGGTGCGGTATAAGGGGCGCTGCGCGCCTGTCCCACCCTCAGTTCCTTCTTGCCGCCAATGAAGGTGATTCGGAACTGCTCTGCTCCAGTTTGTTGTAGCTCGTCCCCAAAACTGCTTGTTCATTCAGTGTATGGTACCTGTAGTTAGTAAGTTTAGTTTAGCTAAGCTAGAGCACCCAGGCCGGGGCCCCGGGTTTTAAGTCATGCAACACTTGTAGGCGATTTATGCCACTGAGTGATCCACAGACGGACTGTCTTAGCTGTTTGGTGGAAACTCAGCGATCGCTGCAAGATTTGCAAGTCGTTTAAGCCTCAGCCCAAGAGAGAAAGGGACATTAGGCTCCGGGCTATTTTGATGGAGTTGGCGCTGACCCCGGCTCTGGTGTGCCGCTCTGAGTTGGCACCGGGCACTGCGGTGTCGGTGCGCGGCGACCCTTCGGTGCCATCAACTAGTCGGTACCGCTCCCTGTTCACGGGGCACGCCAAGAAGGCTAGAAAGAGGCCTTCTTCGCCACGGCACCAGAGTAAACCTGGGACAGAGGTTAGACCCATGTTGGGTCAAGTCGAGCGGAGTAGCCTAGCCCATTCGGAGCAGGCCTCCCCGGATGTCCGGGTGCCCTCCACATGGGAGGCCCTTCAGGCGACCCGGGATGTTATGTCCATGCCAGTACCAGGAGCACCGCCGATGTCGGCCCCGCGTTCCAAAGGCAAGCTGCTGCTGGGATCTCCACAGTCACATCGGCTCGGTACTGGTTTTGGTTGAGGGAACGTTCCTGACGCCGTTCGCCGCCCAGCGACCGTTCAGGGCAAAGTCCACGTGGATTGCCCTTGACGCCCACCAGGCTGTCTGCTTGGGTTCCGTCTGACCAAGACTCTCGGCACCGTTTCGCTTCGAGGAGCGAACGCTGACAGGACCAAGGCAGACGACGCCAAAGGTCCTCATCTTGGCAGGGCTATCGCAGCCAGTCACAGCATGAACGTCAACGTCGTTTCCGTTTGGCGTCCTGCTACAGGACCCCGCCACGGCACCACTTCCGCAGCCCCGGACGTCAATCGCCAGCATCTCGCCGTCGCGGGTCCACCCACCGGAGCCAATCGCGGAGCAGCCGTTACCAATGGTACCAGTCCTCCACGTCAGGATTGCGGTCCCGTGGTTGGCATCACTCCCGGCGCCCCGTTCCTCCCGATCCAGGGACAGCGGCAGGTAGTATGTCAGCCCGGCCTCCCTTCGTAGTTGTCCATCGGTGGGCCAGGCCAGTCAGGCCGAACAGTCGGTTCCGCTGGTGCGACAGCAGGTGCAGTGGCACCGGGCCCTGTGGCTGGCCCAATGGTACCAGTGGGCACCATGGCCCCCGACGCAGCCCCGATGGGGGCTCACTCGGTGACTGGAGCCTCACAAGGACCATCGGCCTCTCTCTCCAGACCTCTGAGGAAGGAGTCAGTGGGACGTACATCCTCGGCACCATGTCCAGAGACCGACCAGGTGGTGGATCCTCCAGTGCCGGTGGACACCCAAAGTACTGCGCCGGCCTCCTCACCCTCCCCAGATGAGGTGATTACAGCCCCTCCGTCCCACAGGAGGACTTTAGGGCCCACCAAGAACTCTTTAAAAGGGTGGCATCAAGCCTCCACCTCCAAGCAGAGGATATGGAGGAGCCCTCAGACTCCCTGTTCAACGTATTGTCCTCCTTGGCACCGGGCAGGGTGGCCTTGCCTCTCCACGAAGGGGTGGCAAAAATTTCAAATGCCCTGTGGCAAACCTCGGCCTTATTGGCCCCCAACTCTAAGAGAGTGGAACTCAAGTATTTTGTACCCAAGGGGCATGAATATTTATACACCCACCCTGCTCCTAACTCCCTGGTGGTCGAGTCAGTCAGCCACAGGGAACGGCTGTCCCAACCAGCCCATACCCCAACAAATAAAGATTCAAGGAGATTGGACTCATTTTGAAGAAAAATTTATTCATCCTCGAGCTTCCAGTTACAGGCTCTCCTGGGTCTGTATGAATTCAGGGGCCCCTGCTCAAGTTCGAGGACTCCCTCCAGGAGCGTGACAGGAAGGAGTTCAAAGTGCTGGTGGAGACTGCCAGGGCAACGCTGCAGGTAGCTTCTGATGCAGCGGCCACAGCCATGAGGTCCATGGCCTCCATGAGAAGGACGTCATGGCTCCTGCTCTCTGGGCTGTCCAGTGAGGCGCAGACCCCCCTGCAGGACCTCCCGTTAGACAGCAAAGCTCTGTTTGCAGAGCAAATGGATACAAAGCCACATGGCCTGAAAGACTCCCACACGACTCTCCAGACTCTGGATCTCTATGTTCCGGCTCCGGGTAACCTACATTCAAGCCGCAGCAGACTCCCACTCAGGCCAGCCAGTCAAAATACAAGACTGCTTATAAGAAATCGCGGAACTGTAAGAGGTGCCCACAGAGGCAGTCTCGTCCTGCCCCCCAGCCTGAGTCCTCAAAGGACAAGCAAGCGGGGAAAAGGCGGTTATGATGGGACACCCAGGGGCACCCTGCCAGTTCTCATCAGGGATCCACCCTCAATAAAGCTTCCCTTCTCCGATCGGTTGTGTGCTTTCCTCCCGGAGTGGTCGCGGCTGACCTCGGACCAATGGGTCCTCAACACCATCTCCCGGGTATACACCTTCCAGTTTACTTCCTCCCGGCCCAGCCATCCCCACCCCGTCCCTCTTGGGGGACCCCTCGCACGAGGCTCTGCTCGAGCAGGAGATGGGGCAGCTCCTGGGCCTAGGAGTGGTGGAAGTGGTACCAGGGGAATTCAAAGGCAAGGGGTACTACTCCAGCTATTTCCTTATCCCGAAGGCCAAAGAGGGGCTCATCTTGGACCTGTGAGGCCTTAACAAGTACATGGTGAAGCTCAAATTCCGCATGGTCTCCCTGGCCTCCATCATCCCCTCCCTGGGTCCCGGGGACTGGTACGCCGCCCTCGATCTGTAGGATGCGTACTTCCACATTCACATATTCGAGGGGCACAGACGCTTCCTCCATTTCATAGTGGGGCAGGAACACCAACAATTTACGTTTGGCCTGTCCACTGCCCCCAGGGTATTCACGAAATGTATGTCGGTGGTGGCCTACCTCAGGCACCAGGGGGTCCAGATGTTCCCGTATCTGGACGACTGGTTGGTCAAGGGCAGCTCCCAGTCACAGGTGCGGGATCACGTGGCACTCCTTCTATCCACATGCTCCCAGCACCAGGGCTGCCTCCTCCACCCCAACCTAGTGGCACTCCACCTCACGGCGTGGCTGCTCAATGGTTAGGTAGGGAGGAAAGGACGTGCTCAGAAGGGGTTCAGTGTGTCCTTCTAGAAAGCAGGCGCCCCTCCACACACCGAGCCTACTTGGCAAAGTGGTCTCGGTTTTCCAGAAGGGCGGACGAGCGGGGCGTTTCCCCGGTGGCCACCCCAATCCATCTTATTCTGGACTACCTCCTTCACCGTAGCGCCTTGTCAGTCAAGGTGCACATGGTGGCCATGTCGGCCTTCCATCCGCCGATGCAGGGCCACACAGTATTTTCCCATGCTATGACTGGCCGATTCCTTAAGGGCTTGGATCGTCTCTTCCCATATGTTAGGCCCCCTGTCCCGCAGTGGGACCTAAACCTGGGTGTTCGCCTGTCTCACGGGGCCCCTATTTGAGCCACTAGCCACATGCTCCTGGTCACACCTCTCGTGAAAGGTGGCCTTCCTGGTTGCGATCGCGTCGGCTAGGCGGGTCTTGGAACTCAGGGCCCTGACCTCCGAGCCCCTGTACACAGTGTTTCATAAAGATATGGTCCGGTTCTGCCTACACCCTTTGTTCCTCCCGAAGGTGGTCTCCGCCTATCACATGGGTCAGGACATTTTTCTGCCGGTCCTCTGCCCCAAGCCCCATGCGTCCAGTGAGGAGCGCCGCCTCCACACGCTGGATGTGAGACGGGCTCTGGCTTTCTACCTGAAGCGGACTTAGCCATTCAGAAAGTCCTCGCAACTGTTCATCGCCTCGGCTGAGTGCATGAAAGGTTGGCCGATCTCCACTCAGCGACTCTCCAACTGGATCACCTCCTGCATCCATACCTGTTATTGTTAGGCCTGGCGAGAATCCCTCCGCCACCAGTTGTGAAGGTGCACTCGACTCAAGCGCAGGCCTCTTCGGCTGCCTTTTTGACTCATGTCCCCATCCAGGACATTTGTAGGGCTGCTACGTGGTCTTCAGTTCACGCTTTCACCTCGCATTATGAGATTGTCACACAAACCAGGGAGGATGCCGGGTTCAGCAGGGCTGTGCTCCGTCCCAAGAATTTGTGAACTCCTACCTACCTCCAACAGATATAGCTTGGAATCTCCTACTGTGGAATACACATGAGCAATCACTCAAAGAAAAGACATTTACCTTTTCCGTAACTGGTGTTCTTCGAGATGTGTTGCTCATCTCTATTCCACATCCCGTTGTCGTCCTTCTCTGTCGGAGTTGTCTGGCAAGAAGGAACTGAGGGTGCGGGGAGCGCGCCGCGCCCCTTGTTCTGTGCTTTGAAATGCTTGCAATGTGTAGTTGCTAACTGGGCCAATGAGAGAAATCTCTTCTACAGTCTATATCCCAAAACCTTGACAGTCTTATTACTTTAACAACCATGTAACGTTGAGTATGCAAGAGAAGACTGGTGTGTCTGTCTCCTTCTCCCTCCTGCCCCACCATTCCCCACAGCGTGTAGCACCTCCACCATGACCATTTCCAGCTCCACTTCCTCTTCCCATTCCATCAAGTCGTTAGTTGGCACTGTAGAAGCTTTTAACATGTAACAAATTGCTTCTTGCTGTCTCCTATCCTGTGCTGCTATGTACACCTATTCCAGACAGCAGCTTACTTGAGGGTCACACGCTACCTTGGCCAAGTACCCCAAGGTGGACACTGAGCTGGCTTCCCCCTCCCATCTGGAACTCCTGCCTGTGGTTCAGCCAGGCTTCCCCACCCAGGCCCCAGGGCTATCCAGTCTGCCTTTCTTCCAAAGCAGGCCAGTCCCCTCACCCACACAGGGGTAATGTGTATCTTAACTATTCATTTTCTGGATTCCAGATGCTTAAATTTATGTTGCTTTCAGTCTCCCTACCCCAGATCCCATTTCAGATGGAAGGTCAGGAAGAAGGGACACAGTCCCCCAGATCACACAACAGGAAGGGAGAGGGATGGGGCTCCCTGAAATCCCAGCACATGCACAGACTGGGAGAATTCAGAGCTTACAAGCCCCGACACCACCTCTAAACTCCCAACTTTCTCTGCTCTCCCTGCTCTGCTTATGTCTTTTCTAAATGAGAGTCTCTAGCCTAACTAGAAATTGTGGGCTTAATGCAAGAAATACTGAGTGAAATTCTGTGTCCTGTGTTATGTGGGTGGAAGGACTATGTTATCATAATGGTCCTTTCTGGCCTTAAAAACATCTATGAATTATAGTTTTGCAATTCAGTGAGCTATGTGAGCAGGTGCTTAAGGCCCCTTGACTTCAGTAGAAGTTAAGCACAAGTTTTCCTCAGCTGGAGCCCAAATGCAGAAAATGCTTCTGTTAGGATCGTGAGTAAAAGTGCTAGTGGACTCAGAGTGTTTTGTGTGGTTGTGTATGATATTTATGAGAGGAAGGCATTAATGCAAATAGTTCCCTGGAACAAGAATAGTTATTAAAAATAATTACAAGTAAATTGTCATTGTTGTACAAGGAATTACGTGACATCAAAATTATAAGAAATTGAATACTAACTGAAAAAATTGTCCATGGATAATTATTCCAAATTCCTAAAGTACTCTGTCTGTAATCTTTGAAGTACGTCACTTACAAAAAATAACTTTCCTCCTTCCTAAAACTCTCCTCAGAAATCTAATCAATATGGTCTGGGACAAGTCCACAACTCAGAAGACTACCTTTATAAAGAGATTAATCTCTTGCATTATGCCCAGAAGGTGGAAAGACTTGGGGCTTTTCATAATGTCCAATTGCAGTGAGTTCCACACCTAAGGGCCCTCTCCTGAGAGTGCCCTGCCCCTAACTGTAGTGAATTCAACCTCCACATACTATCAGCTGAAGTATCCTTTCTGTGATTGTAACTGTCATGTTCACAGTGTGGACACAAGTAGCCTCAGAACCAGGCACCAGCCCATTCAGGGTCTTTCTGATGCAGACTAAGACCTTACTTATCTTCCAGTGTAAACGAAGGAAGTTCATAAAATTTCTAGCTCTGCTCGTTTTGATTTACCACCCATTGGCCAGAGTATGACAGAATTAGTATGGAAACTCTCGCATTGAATTCTGACCCACTGCTTTTGAACTCCCTTCCATGCGAAACTTTGACTTAGTATAGTTCTACTTCCTTCAGGTCTTGATGTTAATACTGTCACTTCTGTGTAGCTCTCTTGTAATAATCGCCACTTTCGAAACAAAGTAAACAAGTCAAATATGATGCTAAGAGAATGAGAGAGGAGGGGATAATATACGTGCACAGAAAGTGGGAAAGAACCAACTATTAACTGTTTAGATGACTTTATATCACCTTTCAGCTGAAGTGATGTATTGAAAATGTCCCTTTGTTTTTTAGAGGGTTGTGGCTGATAAACAGGAAAAACGAAATCAGGAACGCCTGAAACGCAGAGAGGAGAGGGAGAAAGAAGAAAGGGAGAAGCTAAGGAGGTAGAGATCTGCTCTATTTTTGGCAACATACATTTAATAGCCATTGTAGAATCTATATAAGACTGAATTTTCTTGCATATTTGTTTGTGTATGTACGCTTGGTGGCAAAACAGGCTGCATTTGCTGAAAATTCTATAGGAATTGAAAATTATTTGACTGCTTTTCTCAAGCCTATAACTCCTTGTTTCTGGTGGAAGACAATAACTCCTCACTTAACGTTGTAGTTATGTTCCTGAAAAATGCGACTTTAAGCAAATACAATTTTCCCATAAGAATTAATGTAAATAGGGGGATTAGGTTCCAGGGAATTTTTTTTTTTGCCAGACAAAAGGCATTATATTATATATGTTTTAAACAGTTTTAAACAAGCAATTTAATATAGGTATAAGTTTTAAACAATTTTAAAGAAACAATTCAATACTACAATCATCATTGCTGAGTATGAAGCAATGGGTGGTGTCCCCGCCTTACCCCACACAGGCACAGCCCACTGGCACTGCAGGCAAGGAGCCTGAAGGTTCCTTGGCTAGGAGAAGCACCTTCCCTTACTGTGCAAGCACCAGGGGCGGCGGGGCTCAACCCTCGGCCCGCCCACTCCACCCCTTCTCCTAAGTCCTCACCCTTAACCTGCTTCTTCTCTCTTCTCTTCCCCCCGCCCCCTTTACTCCACACGTTTTGCATCCTGCTCCTCCCCCCTCCTTCTCCTGCCTCCTGCTGGCGGCAATCAGCTGGTTTGCCATGTTCAGGAGGGAGGGGGAGCCTGCGCACCGAGTCCTCGCTTCTCCCTCCTGAATGCCTCAAAGCAGCTGATTGCTGCGGGCAGGAGGCGAGGGGAATGGGGGGGGGGGGAGCTGATAAGGGGGCTGCCAGCTGTGGACAAAGCAGGCAGCCAAACGGCGTTATAGCGCAGCATTGCACAACTTTAAACAAGTATGTTCTGTAATGGAGCAGGGACGTAAGGTCAAAACAACGTTAAGCGAGAGGTCGTTAAGTGGGGAGTTACTGTACTTTTTCTATATAAGTAATGGATACATCAGGGTGAATATAAACATGAGCAAATATTGACTTTTCAGTGTGATTTTAGACATGTAATTTTCTCTGAGAATTAACAAGTAAATTATACGTTCGGTGCCTTTTAGGGAAAATAACCTGCATAGATAGATTGGGAAGTACCTGAAATACTCAAATCAGACCTAAAAAAGAGGTTGAGTATATGATTGGCCCTTTAGGAGTGGTCCTGAATCTTCTCAGTGAAATACACAATCACTGTTTCTAGGAATTCACACGCAGACTCATTTAAACTGCTGTTTGCATGCATTTTGTTGTGGACTTAAGAAGTCCACAGTGACTTTCTACAGCAATGTTGATGAGCTCACGTGTCATCTGTGAAATCCCCCATAAAATCAGGTGTTCTGTGCATCAGAAGAACAGAGGGTCAGTATTTTCCTTAACTCTCTAAGGTCTTCATAAAAAACAAGAGAGTTTAAATAAAATAGGGAATTTTTGTGGTATGCTATACCCAGAAAGAAAAGAGAGAAGAAGCATTTAAACAGTCAGATCAATGTAGCATTGGGAAATCTTTCTCTAAAGAGACTGTAACTCACATTTTAATAGGGCCTTTATCTTAACTGTTTCATAGAATAAGAAATGTAATGGTAAGTCGGGTTGGCAACCTTCGGCACGCCCATCAGGGTAATCCGCTTGCAGGCCGCGAGACATTTTGTTTACGTTGACCGTCTACAGGCACGGGCCCCCGCAGCTCCCAGTGGCCACTGTTTGCCATTCCTGGCCAATGGGAGCTGCGGCAGGCTGCAGGGACATGCTCGCCACCACTTCCTGCAGCTCCCATTGGCCTGGAATGGTGAACCACAGTCACTGGGAACTGCGGGGGGGGAGGGGGGGATCGTGCCTGCGGACGGTCAACGTAAACAAAATGTCTTGTGGCCCGCCAGCGGATTACCCTGATGGGCTGCGTGCCGAAGGTTGCCGACCCTTGTGGTAAGTAATCAATTACTTTAGCTTGTTCTCATTGTAATCTGCATTTTCTAATTGTGAATATTTGTTTGTATAACAAAAACTATTCGCCATTTTCCATTTGTTTCAGGTCTAGATCCCATAGCAAGAATCCCAGAAGGTATGTAATCTGCAGGAAAGGGGCACTATAGTGAAACCAAGCTTTTAAAAGCTAGAACCTTTATAAATTTCATTGTCAAGCATTATTAGACTGCAGCGTCCTTGTTTAGCACCAAAGCATCATAGAGGATGGCCGTTCTCAACAGATTTATGCTGCACTGATCACTGTGGTATTGGACTGCGTATGCACATGTGTTCACCCATGACCAACACAATGTTTTTTTGTCCTCTGGTAGTAGTTAGAATATGTCAAAAGGCTTGACTCTGTGACTGCTTGCAAGCTAATGGCCCAGGTCCTTTAGCTTAAGCAAGAGACACTTGTGCTTTTAGACCCTGAGGTCCCAGGTTCAGGCTCCACAGGTGACCCATCCAGAGGTGTCAGTACTTAGGCAATGCGCTTTGCCTCTTAAGCTTCAGTTGGAAGCCACTCATTTGCTAGCCTTTCAATAGGAAATAATTTGTAATAATAAACCTTCAGAGGTTTGAGAGCCTGCAAATATAGTCTTATGTTAATGGCCTTAAACAAGAATATAGCTTTTGTTTTAAAACTTCAGTGGTATCTGGTGCATATCAGGTCTTAGGCTTCATAGACAACTGCAACATAAAGCACTTGCCAGAGGCTCATTGTCACTGCATCTTTCATAACATCAATGTTCTGTGACTTTGTTTGTTAAATAGACTCAGTTAAATAAGCACTTTGATTTCTTTGAAGGGTAGTGGCAAAGCACCAAACATGCAGAGTCTTCCCTTCATTTGGTCTAAATTTTGTTGGACTAGTCACAGAGGAATTTGGAGGATTTCCCCCATCACTTTCCTCCTTCAGGGCCAGTCTCTGAGAAATATATAATAGCTGTGATAATTGGAAACTGATCTCCGTACAGTCCCGCTATCATGTACAAAGAACTAAATATTGGTAGAGCAGCTGACTACCTCATTCACCGTAAATCCTTTCTGTTTCCAGATCTAGGTCTCGAGATCGCCGCAGACATCGGTCTCGCTCTGCCTCCCGGGAACGAAAGAGAAGAACTCGCTCCAAATCCCGTGAGAAACGCCACCGTCACAGGTCTCGCTCCAGCAGCCGCAGCCGGAGCCGCAGCCATCAGAGAAGCAGGCATAGTTCCAGGGACAGGAGCAGAGAACGCAAAAAAAGGTAAATGTTGGCCTTCTGAGAGAAGTAGTTTCCCGTTCCTGATGCACTGATCTGGAAACAGTTGTAACTGTTTCCAGAAACTTAGGGTAGAAATGTAATTGTTTACCAAGAACACTTAGGCCTGGTCTACACTGGGGGGGGGGGGGGATCAATCTAAGTTACGTAACTTCAGTTACATGAATAACGTAGCTGAAATCGACGTACTTAGATTGACTTACCCTGGTGTCTTCACCGTGGTGAGTCAACTGCTGCCGCTCCCCCGTCAACTCCGCCTGCGCCTCTCATGGCGGTGGAGTACAGGAGTTGACGGGAGAGCACCCGGGGGGTCGATTTATCGCGTCTAGACTAGATGCGATAAATCGACCCCCGCTGGATTGATTGCTGCCTGCTGATCTGGCGGGTAGTGCAGACATACCCTTAGTAATTTTAAACACCTTGTGGAGCATTTCCAGATTTCAGTCATTGTTTTAGCATGAGCGCTGATACAGAAACAGGGTTACCTTTTTGTTTGTTTTTGATGGGGGGAAACTGCTGTGACAAAGTGCAACATATTTGTCAAATTGTGAACCCTGTGCTGTACTGTGAGTGAAAATAAGCCTGAATGTTCCTGAAGTCAACCTATTGTACTGCATTCCAGACAGCTTTCCTGCCTGGGAAAGGTATTTGAAAGGTATAGCTCATTGAAGGACTATTGCTGAGAACCATCTGTTGTGATTGTTTGTTTGTATTACTGTAGCATCTCAGAGCCCTGGTTGTGGACTAGGACCCCGTTGTGCTAGGCATTGTCCAAACAGAACAAAAAAACCCCTGCTTCTGCCTCAAGAGCTTACAGTCTGGTATACGACAGGAGACAACAGATGGATACAGAAAGACAAGAGTACAAGGAAGCAGTGAGACCGTATCTGTCAGCTTGATAAGCAGTGGTCTCAGCACATGAGCAGCCAAACCATTGTTAATTTTTTTGTAGGCATCGTGGCAGAGCAGTGCTAAGAGGAGGGTTTTGAAGGCGGATAATGAGATGATTTTGAGGAAGTTTATGGGGAGTTTCTTCCAAACATGTGGGTGAATGCACAAAGATGCCTATTAGAAAATTTAACAAGTGGTCGATGGAGGCTGGCAACTTGGGCCACTTGTAGGTGAGGATCAGCATCTCATTCTCTAATGAGAGATGTTAGGTATGGTGGGAATAGACCATCCTTAAAAGTGAAGACAAGCAACTTATGTATGTTGTGTGGATGGATAAGAAAGGCAATATTTTAGATGTTACACACAAAGAATCTGCAAGACTTAGCCTAGATATGAGGACCTAAGGAGAGGTCTGAAACAAAAATGATACCCAGATTATAGGGCCTGAGTGACGGGCAGGATTGTGGTGGTGTCCACAGAGATCAAGAAAGGAGGCAGTGAAGAAGTCTTGGTGAGAAGAAAAATAGGAGTTTTGTTTTAGCTATGTTGTATTTGAGCTGACAGCTAGACACGCTCAAGCAGCTGTCAGAGAGACAAGATTAGATTGTAATTTGTATAGAAGAAGATAGGTCTGGAATAGAGAGAGAGATCTGTGAATCATCAGCATCATGATGATAGTTGAATTTATGTTTGCAAATGAGATTACAAAAAAATAATTAATTAATTAATGGAGATATCCCATCTCCTAGAACTGGAAGGGACCTTGAAAGGTCATAGAGTCCAGCCCCCTGCCTTCACTAGCAGGACCCAGTACTGATTTTGTCCCAGATCCCCAAGTGGCCCCCTCAAGGACTGAACTCACAACCCTGGGTTTAGCAGGCCAGTGCACAAACCACTGAGCTATCCCTCCCCTACAAAGATAAGGTGTAGAGGGAGAAGAGAGGGCACAAAGGTCAGAACCCTGTGGAATCTTCACAAAGTTGGGGGTGGGGAGAGGTGAGGAATATCTGATGTACGTGTTGAAGTAGTAGTTAGAGGTATAGAAGAGGAGTATGAAGAGAGTGAGTTATGGAAGCCAAGGGAGGGCATGATTTCAAGAAGTGAAATGTGGTGTGTTGTCACAGAAGGCTGACAGGTCAAGCAGGAGGATGGAGTACTGGTTCTGAGCTTTAGGAGGAGTGGTTTCAGTGGAGTGCAAGGGGATAGAAACCAGATCGGAGAAGGTATTGGACTGAATTGGACAAGAGGAACTCCAGACAGAAATTGTAGACTGTGTCCCCAAATAGCTTAGAGATGAAAGGGAGATGGGGTGGTAGTTGAAGAGGCAGGTGGAATTAAGGGTGGTGTTTTTAAGATGGTAGAGACTAAAGCATGCTTGTATTGTGATGAGACCGAGTAAGAGGAGAGCCAGAGGTTGAGGGGGGGAAGTAAGGAAAGGCATAAGCGTGGGTATGAGTGAGATAAGGGTGTGGGATGGGATCACAGTGACAAGTGGAGAGGAGGAGAGCAGACTAGAAACTTCTGTGACAAGGGGGAAGGAGGTGAGAAGTGTAGGACAGGAAAGGGAAGCCAAGGTAAAGGGAGGGGGAAGTTCATATGTTGTATCTTGTCAGTTTTTTCTTGAGAGAAGTCTGAGAATCCTGTGTGGGGAGAGAGGTGGAGGCAGGAGGAGAGGAAGTTTTGAGGAGTCAGTCAAAGTTGGCAAAAAGATGGGTGAGGTTTTGGGTGTAGGATTCAATTAATGTGGAGAAGTGGAATTGCTTAGTAGGGAAACTGGTAGAACTGAAGGAGGGGAGAATGAATTTGTAGCAGAGGAAGTCAGCCTGGTCACTGAATTTTTTCCAGGGATGTTCTGCAGTGTGTGAGCAGGAGCTGAGGAACTGGATGTCAGGGTGAGCCAGGGCTGTGGATTGGCAGGACAGGCCTTGTGATGGGAGGGGCAAAAGAGGAGAAGGTGGGGAAGTGTGAAGCAAGGATCTAATCAAACACCTCAGTAGAAGAAAGACAGGAAGAAGGCTAAGAAGATACAACTCATCAACACGGATGGATTGGAAGTCATGGAATGGCTGATTGACAGAGCGGCGAACTGTTGATTTTTGAATGACTCAACTACTGGCACATCCTCATGGATGAATGGTTTTTCTAAACAAGGGGGACAGGCATGACTTGTGGAAGGGGCTGGAGTTTCCCAGAGGAGTATTTGGCAGAGAGACAGCAACTGAAGAGTGGGGTACTGTTCTGTGCTAGGGCCCAATCATCACCATGCAAAGGAGAACTTGCAGGGGTGGGGTGGGCTGGATGGACGCTGCCCAGCCTGAAATGCTGGCAAACCTTAGACTCCCAAAAGGGGAGAGATCAGACGTGGGGAAGTTGAATCTTAAGACTTTGTCGTTTTCAAAGATCTCTCTGTCTCAAGTGCTTTAAGAGTAAAGTCACTATGGTTAAGAAATTCCTCTTAGCCTGCATTGTTCTTCATTAGGTCTTTGTTTATTCCTATTCGTGGGGATCGAGGAACGTACACCATGAGCTTCCAGAGCTTTCTGGAAAGATGCATCCTTTGGGGCCACTTATTCCTTCCTCCCCTTTTTGTCCTGGAGGGTTCTGAGGGTAGGAAACAGGGAGTGGTCCTAACCGCCCTCCAATTCATTTTAACCGCCACAGGGGCAGAGAACCCATATTGAACACAGTGTCCTTGATGCTTTCCTCATCTATTCCCGCCCCCCGTCTCTTTGTAAACTTCGGGGCAAATTTTGTTTATAGTTAGTTTGTGAGATTTTTCTTTGAAAAGAGGAGAGCAGATGCTTGTCTGACGCTGGCTTTGTCTGGACTGACAGAGGAGTGGGTTGGACCATTTCACACCACCCAGCTGACAGGGAGGTTCCTCAGTCTCAGTCAACTAAGTCTGGCCATTTGAGAGTCCTAGCATCAGCTTGGGCATCTGGTTCCAGGATCTGTCCAGGTTGACCTAAGAGACCTAATGTGCCTAAAGGGGCTGTCTGGCCATTGGATCTGGTTTCCAAAGGATCATGATCAGCAGAGCCAGGATCTGGAGCTACAAAATCCGAGATCTGGGGCTGCAGCAAAGCATGGGTCCAGGCTACAAAAGGGAAAAAAATCCAAATTTTACAGCTAAGCATAGATGAGTGCCTGGCAAGTATGTATCCAAAGCCAGGACCAACGTGGATCCTGAGTGATAACATGGATCCAGATTCAACAGCCAGATATGAATAACTGCCAAGCATGGTTGCCAAGAAGAGATCAAATTGCCTGGGATGTAGCCAGCATGAGAATCCGACATCTTTGACTATTGAGTGTCATTTGTTTAGTGGTTCTGCACCACTAAGACCGTGGTACTGAAATTCCAACACCATGATCTTTGCAGAACTACTTGCCTTATTGATTCTGTACCCAATATAGTGGCTTGAGGAAACATTCAGTGTGGAAGCCCTCACAACACTGGAAAGGTGGGGAAGAACAAGATTCTGATCAGATCCAGGATGGTGGATCTCTGTTACAGGGATAGTGTTTTAAACATTGTGCTTCCTGTTTGGCCATTTTCAGATGCACACACTCAGTGCCCTGCATGGCTGTTTCCCAAGGAGAGGGTGTTTCTCTTTCCGATGCGCCATCAAATTCAGCGGTCCAGAGCCAGGTTTGCAAGATACAGATGCTGAGATTTGGATGAGAGACTCCCTTCAGATGTGAGGGTCTATACCCACTAAAGTTCTATTGATTCTGAGATATTTCAAGGATCCAAAGATTTCTCTGCCTGTGCAGCCTCTTGAGAGAGAGAGAGGTTACAGTGTCAGAGGAATCTGATCCAGAAAGGATTACCTTTCGGCTTCCAACCCTCTTTGTAGCCCTCAAATGCAAAGGCAAAAAATATACTGAAGTCCTTCCCACACAGGGAATTAAAAAGCATGTTGCCAAGGTTCTGCAGAGAAGATACAGTGCTGTAGGACCTATGTAGATTTAGAGATGTAGATGATGGGGCTTTGAGGCCCACTCTGATATCTCCTAGATCAGTGGCTCTTAACCTTTCCAGACTACTGTACCCTTTCATGAGTCTGATTTGTTTTGTTTACCCCCAATTT